AAGGGCCGAGGGGAAGCGTGGGGGTGAGGCGGTAGGAGAGCGGGAGCCCACTGAGCAGCGAACCCGTGAAGTGTTCAGGGCAGGGGCAAGTCGCGTGGGCCTGCGAGGCGGGTGCGTGTACTTCCTCGCGCCACGGGCCTCTGGAAGAATACCTTAATTTATCTTTTAACTATAGATATACCTTGTAATGTTTCAGAATCCGTTATCATGGATGGAGACTCAGAGCATGACAAAGGTAATGTGAGGTGGTTTTTCAAACAAACAAACACACACGTAATCTTACACTTGAGAATAATTTTTTTTTTTTCTTTCCCCTCCCTCAAGTTGAAGATGTTGTGGGCTGCCACGTTGAAGATGCTGTAACATTTTGGGCACAGGTGAATTCAGAGAACTATTTGATTTTAACTGAGGTGTTTAATCTTATCTCCCCCCACCCCCCTCAAGTTTCTGTAGAAGTGAGAATAAATGATAGCACTTGATGTTGGGGAAAAAAAGTTAGTTTGGATTTCAGAATTGCAAGTATTGTTGTGCCCTTTTAAACTGAAATCAGTTATTCTTTTCTAAAATGTCAAAAGGAATTGTTCATCCATCCACTTGAATTTTAGCTGGGTTTTCTTGAATATTTGGTAGACCCTATGCCAAAAAAAAAAAAAAAAATTGAGGATTAGAATACTTGCTGTTGACTGATGAATACTGTAGGAGGCAGTTGGAGCCCTGCTGGGGGTGGATCCCCTACCCTCTAGCAGCTGAGCGTCTGGGGCAGTTTCAATGAAGCTTGATATGGAGGTGGTTCGAAGATGCTAGGTCCTTTCAAGTCTTCTTAGATGGGCAGGAGGATGTTGGACGGTGGGAGTAAGGAAAAGTAAAAAAACACAAAACAATGAGTAGTTTTCATTAATGTGGGGGGTGCAGCAGGGAGAGGGGGAAAATCCAGGAGTACCAAAGCTTGCCTTTTCTATTTGGTCTGCTGGCTAATTGGTGTGGGTATATTAGTCATCACCTGTGTAGCTTTGAGCCAGTTGGAGGAGGTAATGCTGCTTGCCATGTACCTAATAGGAATTGGGGGAGGGGGACCAAACATTACTCATTCTGTTTATGGAATAGCTTCATCTAATAAAGGGATTTTTAGATGTAATAGTCATAGGTAATTCTCCTTTAGGTTCTTACCTGGCATTCTGAGATTCAGTTACAGTGTTTTTAAAATTGTAGGTACAAAAGTTAGGAGTGTACTTCTAAGGTTAACAAAATGTTAAGTTGCACTAGTGTTTTCCTTCCTGCTCTGAGCTCTGGATCCTTTCCTTTGAATTAGAGTAGAATGTTGTCTAATAATTGCCATGTTACTGGAATTGACCCAGTTTTATGGTAGTTCAGATACCAAGTTGTAACTGGAAATACTCTGCTTCTCTCAGCCAAACCAAACCCCAAGTCTTGCATGTAAAGAGAACAAGGGGTATGCCAGAGCTGTTGTCTCCTTGTATTAAAGAGAGAAAGAAAAAGAATGCCAAATACATACTAATTTGTGAGGAAGGATTGATAAGTAAGATCTGCATACTGCTTGCAGAAGCTGGTAATTAAACTGCTGAAAATGTTCGTTGCAAACTATTTCTCTGGGGTACATTACCTGCCCCTGATCTGTTTCATTAATTTTTGGAAGAAAATGAGAGCAGGCTTACAAATGCTACTAAAATCATGAAGATTGAAAGCTTAAGGTGGGGCATTACTTGTCTCAACAGCAGTGAAACTGTTTTGATTTAATTTCTGGCTGTTACAAGCCATCAAGCATCTATTAAAAGTGACAGTTAATAACTCGTACCCTCTCTCCACACTTCTTAGAATGTCAGTAGATGTAATGACCTCTTGAAATTAAGTTGTGCGCTGGCAGAAGCTTGTCCTCGGGCTAATGCAGTTTTTGGCAAACCTGATTTTAGTAAGGTAAGTAGGTTGTGTATATGTGGAGTTTGTGTTTCACCTGGATGTAAAAGCCTTAATTCTATGCAACCATTTCTTAGGTATTTTCTTGATCTTTGATTATGCTGTGGGTTATATTCTCTTAAGATCTCTTTAAGAACTGCTGGCTTATTTTGTGTGAGCAAATTTAAATCTTTCTGCGCTTCAGATTCGGTTCAATTATGCAACCATAGCTTTTTTTTTTAAACACTCAGGAAATACTACAAGAAGGTAATATACAGAATGCTGAATTCTCTTTTGTTGTCCAGTATACATCATGGGTTGTCTTTAACAAGAGAGTAATGCTTTTTTAGAGAAGTGATTCTTTGCTCCATCTCAAGAAGTGTGGAAGATCTTACAAAAACCTGTAATGTTAAATGCGCTGGACAAAGTACTCTTAAGAAGATAACAAGGACATATTTAATAGCAGTTCTATGACAAGCATACAAAGAGTGATGGCAACTTTCATTTTTGTGTGTGAACTACTGGTGGCTTATTGCAGAGTAAGGTTTAAATAAAACGATTTGTCTGAACTGTTTGTGTGTGCAGGTAAATGACATTCTACATTCCTCTTGAAAAGGAAAAAAATGCACCAACAGCAAACCCAGCATGTTTGTGGTGTGACTGGCCTGTTCCTTTGTCAGGCTTACTAAGCCATCAGAGTCAATAAAGTGTTGTAGCAACACATAACAGAAAAGCCGTGGGAGACTGCTGTGTAAAATGTTAGTGTTTTTCTAGTTGCAAAATTTTCTTTGAGCTATTGTTTTTGGAGTAGAGGATTATGTTTTCGAAGCATTAGCATATATTGTTATGAGAGATAGGATATCAAAATCATTACTTTGTTTTCATACTGCTGTTGGGATAATTATAGGAGAGTGTGAAAATAATATTTGTAATGTATTACAAATACCATTTTGAGGTATGCTTACATTTTCAGAATGCTATTCTTGATCTTTTTTTCCCTAATTTCCAGATTTATGGTGGCTGTTTTTCTGAAGATAGATGTTGGTACAGATGTATGGTACAGCAAGTGATCAACAATGAAAAGGCAGGAACCATTTTTTTAAAGTCTTTATTCATATATCAGTTCTACATGTAGGATGATAGAAATCCTTTTTTTGAAACTTGCTGTGTGAATGCATTTAAAAACAGCGAATATACATGTGGGACACAAATTCAAGTGACCTGTAATTTTGAAAAATGCTGATGAAAAGATTGGCAAGACATGACATAATTGCGAAATGCCGTTTGTATCTCTTGTTGAAGAGATTCGTGAATGGTAGTTAATGTGGTTAAGCAATGTAATTTAGTTTCAAAACTTCTGAGTGGTGAAAATGGCAGCCTTCGTGTGACATGTTAGCACTCATGCAAATGACCTGAGAGAGTTGTTAATTGGCATTACGTGACTGATACAGAAGGCTAGTAGTTCCTATTTAAAATGAGAATTTCTAGGCAGGCTGGTTGGCATGGAAACATTAGACTGCATATCTATCCATTGAAGAAAGTCTTCTATATTGCTTTTTAATTGTAGCCCTTAGAGAAAAAAGAAATTGCCAGCAAAGATCTGTTTTGTTACTTAAAGTTTTGTCACTAGGCTTTTAGACAGGTGCCAACATAAGAGATTTCTCTAACTCGGTTCCTTCCTCTGAAGGGTGTCTAGGCTTAGTAGGGGAGACTCCGATCTCTGCAACATGGACGTGTGTTAAAATGCTTATATTCTAGTAGCTGTCAGCGCATATTTCTGTAGGAGGTTTATGTAACCTATGCTGATTTATATTTTATATTATTGTTGCAGTGTCAGGTATTGTACATTGACTATGGAAATTCTGAGGTTCTGAACAGGTCAGACATAGTTGAAATTCCACCAAACTTGCAATGTCCGAGTGCTGCCAAGAAGTACAGGCTCTGGGGACTGCAGATACCAACTGATCAGAACTTAAACATGTTTGACCAGGTGAGTAATGTATTTTGAAGCATTTAGATGATGGGATCTGTAACAGATGCTGCCGAATACCAGCACAGGAGGAGTCTTCTAAGAGCTGGATGTTTAGCTGTGAAGGCAGGGCATGCTGGGAAGGACTGTCTGATCTGTTGCCCTGAACGTACTCTAGAAACTAAAATGGTTTTGTCACAAATTGTTCAGGTTGTGCTGGGACATGCTTTTTAGAGTATGCTTTTGCCATTTTCAGAGCCTCAGGTCTATTTCTGACTGACCCGAGTTCTTTCTGGCGCTGAGGAAACGAAGTACCTCTGTTTCTCTCCCTTCAGAGGGACCTGACTTCCCTTGGTCACAGAACCTGTGATAAAGTCACTTACGTCTGTGAGCTGCTTGAATGCCGTGTGCCTGGATACTGTACAAACTTTCGGTCAGGAGAGAGAATAGCAGGTGATTGTGAGTGGTAGTAGGAACCCTGTCATCCCGGGCCAGCAATGAACGTGAAAGGCTTGGGAGCTGATGCCAGCAGGACTGGTAAAAGCTTTCAGCCCTCTTGAGTGGCACTGGTGACCGTTGGTCGAGTTTTACTAGTGGCGGTTTCCCTTTCTGGGACACCACTTACAGTCTTGATGGCATGCTTCTCCAAGGCTTGTCACTGGCACTGCCTGTGCTTCACCAGTCGGTGGCCTGGGAGCAGCAGTTGCTGGAGGAGGAGGGGGCAGAAGCAGCTGTCCTGCTTCCCTTGTCGTATCCCTCTATCATTTGGAGGAGATCCTGAGACCCCTCGTGTATGGTCTTGTCCCCGTGCTCCTATTGACATTGCTTAATGTGATTACTTAAGACAGGTGAAAATCTCTGTTCTCAGTCCCCTGGGCTTTTGTTTTGTTTGTGTGTGGTGGTGTGTTTTTTTTTTTTTTAAACAGTTCTTGTTGCTTGAGGTAAAGCTTTACTTGCTTCCTCTGTGTAGCTTTCCTGCCCCCACCCCTTCCATTCTTAATTTTCAGCAAAACCAGCTTGTTTTCAGAAGCGGGGCAAAAAGGAAAAACCCTGTTAATAAAAGATAACTTTCTCCCAGATGTCTTGTGAAGATCTTGAGTGCATTCCCCAGACTTTCAAAGCTGTTTTTCTTTGATTTTACTGATGAAACTGATAGCTGCCAATTTTGGCATTTCCCAATTTCTAAATGAGTAGTTTCAGTAAGGTAGATTTCCGTAAGGTAGGTGCACATAATAATTCATTTGTTGCTATGTTCTATTTCAACTTCTGGGCCACTTACTGAAAGGCTGTTAAACAATGTAATATTTAAAATATTTTTTTCATTTTATTTTGTATAATACTGTTAAATAGTTGGTCTAGTATCCTCTAAAAGACTTGGATAACCTGGTTGCCAACTTCTGTTGAGAGTTGATGGGACTTTGGACGTCTGTCACTTACAAATGATACTGAATTCTTCAAAGCTGAACATTGAGGGAGAACTATTGGTGTTGAAGTCCAGTCTGGCATTGACAGTGATTAGATCAGGTACAGTTGTAACTGTACAGATACAGCATAGTTTCAGAATAAATGTGTTAAACATAAGCTTTACCTGTGCAGCTCTTTGGATTTTGGTCTTAAACATGTCTTCTCTTTTTCTTAGATGGCTGATTTCTGCTAAAAGTATTCAGAGTGTCCAGTACACAACTTCATTGTATTTTTATTTTACAGGGGAAGAAGTTCTTGAGCAGCCTAGTTTTCGAAAAAGAAATAAAAATACGTCACAAAGCCAAGCACGAAGATGGTACCATTATTGCCCAGGCAGAATATGAAAAAATAGATGTTGGAGAAGAGGTGGCCAAGGCAGGGTTTGCTGAAAAATGCACATCTCCAGGAAACACTAAAGATGTGGAAGAGAGAAAAGTAGATGTCATGCAAAACCAACATCAGAAGATAAAAGTTTCAGTTCCGCTGTGGGTAAACAGGTCTGATCGCGCGCTGTACAGCATCCCAAGAGGGCGCTTTGACCAAGTAGTTGCCAGCGCAAGGAATCAGAATTCTACTGGAAACCGAACGTTCGCCCCAAAGTAAGGCAGTGGGATGTCATAGAAAACTTTGTATGAGTGATCTGATTAGCTTAGTTGCTGGGATGTGGGTATATGAGAAGATGGAAGGGGAAGCGCGTATCTAAAATACAAAGCTCAATTTCTGTCTTTCCAGAATCAAGTAATACTGATACTCAATGGAAGGGAAGTATATGTGAGTCTGTGTGTGTGTGCATGCTGTGGTAGTGGGAATTAGGACATTAATCTGTAGAAAACTGTTCATTAGTGTTGTTGCTGGTTGGATAGCTTGCTCTTCCTCGTTTGATTTCCAGAGACAGACTGTTCTTATGTATCTTAATGCAAGATTTTGAAAAAGAAGGAAGGGGTAGCAGCTGGTAAGCAGAGGAGAAGATGCCGGAAAGCTTAGTTGAAAGTGAAGGTTGCAGGACACCAGGCCTCTAGCAGATTTTGCAGTGATCGGCAGTAAAATGATGTTCGTTTTAGCATCTGTGTAATTTCTATAGGCTTGTCCTCAAGACTTTTTGTAGCTATCCCCTCTTTATTTAACGCTATTAAAAACTCACTGGACACAAATGTGGAATGTAAAAGTACATTTACCTAGCAGGACAAACATATTTTGGTGATTTATTTGTGTAGGAATGTAACAATGTGTGCTTATAAGAAATAAAGCCAGCAATCACAGTTTGAAGCAAGCTTTAGGGGATAACAGTGTCTCTGCAACTTGTAATTACATTGACAAGAGGTGGTGGTAATTGGCAGTTGCAGTTGTTGTCAGAAATCTTTTGAAACAGACTTGTCCTACAGTTGCTAGGATTGCCATGGCAACAGGCTGCTGAGAAAAAATTTTGTGGGTGGGAAAGATGGTACTTGGCATTCAGAAAGTTGAGATGGTGTAAGAAGTAATGTTCTACAAAAAAACTTGTTTAGAATTTGCTAATGTTCCATAATTTGAGCTTCTCAAACATTGTAATGAATCACCTGAGGGCACGCCCTTCCACACACCAGCGTGGTATCCAAATCTGTTTTACAATTAGATCATTTAGGCAAGTCTATGCTGCTAACAAATACTAATATGAAATGAGGTGCTCTTCAAAAAAGTCTAAATTTGTAGTAAAATGCCTCATCCTGAATTATTTTGATACTGTGATCTGCCCAGTTTTCTGAGTTACAGATATGCTCTGAATCTGATTGTAAAGAAGAAAGAGCCTTTTGTTTTTTTTTTTTTTTCTTTGTGGCGTGCAGTGTTGAGATACTTTTGTGTACAAAGCTATCCTGACTGGCTTGAGCAGATTCTCTTTTCCATTTCTGTATGTTCTGGTGTCTTTTAACTTCTTGCACATCGCAGGCATTTTTGGGGTGGTATGCCTGCGAAGGAAATTGAGAAAGAAAGAAGCTAGGATGTAACCAAAGCCACGCAAGTGAGGATGAAGTTGATGTGGAGTCTAGTGGAGCTTTGGTACTGTACAGTACTGTCACAGTACTCTGAGACAGATGGCTTCACATCATTCTTCGTTATAAAAATAACTCTTAGGGTATAGATCCAAAACACTAACCTTAAAGTGCATTGACTTACTTAGTAGACAGTATATTTGAGTTACAATGGACCTTGACTTTTCTGGGTCTGCAGTGGGGTATCGTAAGATGTTTTTCAGATTGGAAAGACTTTTGAGTTAGTGACTGTGAAAACATATAAAGGGTTGTTTTCAAATGATGTGGTTTTTTTCCCTCGGTATTGTGTAACAGTCTTTGTAGAGACTAGCGTGGAGAGGGGTACAAATTCTGAAGAAGTAAAGCATGATTGTCTAGGTGCTTCTGTAGTGTTTTTGATGGGATGTTCTATAGTCATTACTGAAATTGCAATAGCATGAAAGAATGCACATTGTGTTTTGTTGTTTTTCTTTCTTTTTTTTTTTTTTTTGGTAATTAATTCCTCTTAATTAATTTTTAAAAGGGAAAAAATGCTAGCTTCTACCTCAGCGCCAGACACCAGCTTGGCGCAAATAAGACCAGATCAGAAGCTGTCCGAAGAGAAAGAAGTTCTCAGAAGGGAGAATGTAAATCTCTTGCAGAGGCAGAAGGAACTAGAACTGAAGGTTCTACAGCTGAAACGTGAACTTCAGGTATGTGGAAATGCGAAGAGGATGCTTCTCTCCTCATTGCGAGTGTTCCTGACAATGCCTCTGTCTTATGGTTTCATCGTACTGCAGTTCTGCTGTGCACTGTTGTTTGGAATACAGAAGGATTAAACTGGTCGAGTGAAGTCTTGTCTTGCCCTGGTGTAGGGAGATGCTGTCAATGTGTGTCAGCACGCGTTTTGCAGTCCAGGTTGGATCCTAGCTTCCCTTGGTGTATGTATTGGCCTGCCACCACGCTTGATGCAGCTGCTGGTTTGGATGTAGATGTTCAGTTTGAACGTGGAGTTTTGCACTTTGTGATTAAAAACGTGCTTTGTGTGTAAGGATGTAATCCTTGCCTTTTTTTTTTTTTTCCTCACTTAGAGGAAGAACAGTTTTCTGTGTGTTGGGCTGAAAATTCCTGAGTATCACAGAATCATAGCAGCTGTGGAATTTTAGAACTGGATAAAAATGATTATTTCCTTAATTGCTGCTTAATAGAAAAGATGCTTATGTTTCTTTCCAGGGGCAGTTCCTAGCACTATCTGAGAAGCACAGTCCTTAGTAATAGTTACTGATAGGCTTAAAAATGCTGTGAATGGTTTTAAGTGTGATAAACAGCAGTAGTAAGAAGAAATTGTGTGACAGGATGTTATGTTTGCATGAATTCAGAAAAATGTTGTGCAAATCTTATCTCTACAAATACAAAAGGAAAATCTGCCATTGTGTAAATCCCTTTGACACCCCAAACCTGAACCTGCACACAGCTGTTTCCTTTTTCTTTCTTGTGGAGTAAAACTACCCATAACTAGCTTTGCTACTCAGTTACCTCTACCTAGAACACCTGTGTTTTTGCCTATACTAACCTATCATTGCACACATTCTCCATCAACGGAAGATAGGATGTTTGTGCCCTCCTATGCAAACTAAATTAACAAGCAACAGACTATATGTCTGCAGCTAAGAAAAAATACTTGAATGCAAGGAATTCTTAGAAGCATTTCTTATCTATAGTCTGATGATTTTTTTTTTTTAAACTGTATTCTACAAATTTTAATTACTTTTTTGTGTTGAATGCGAGTAAACTGCTTTAAAAGAAGATGTTGTGGATATTATTTTAAGTAAGAAAATATTTGCTCCCTGCTAAAAACAATATGGTAGGCAATGATTTGTTCTAGAAGGGTGATATGTGATGGTGGCTTTGAGGGGTACTTGGAAAAAACACCCTGCAGTCATGAGATTTTGGATGCTTATCTGCAAATATAAAACTATTTAAATGGTTTTATGTTTGTTTTTTTATTCGTTGGTGTTTTTGTTTTTTTAAATATAATATGTAGTGAGTCTGAAAGGCTAATAAATTTTAAAGACTGTGTTTCATTACCTAAAGTGGGATTTATAAAAGCATCTCTGTGGTATGAGAGCAAGAGCTTTTAAATTTAGGTTGCCCCTTGAGGAATATAGCCTGATGTGGTGTGGGGGCTTTTTTTGGGTCAAGAATATTCCTTATTTTGTCTTAAGAATATTCCTTGTAGGAAGGTCAGGATGGTTGTACATACAGCGAGAGTTCTTATTTTGCTGTACCATGCTAAGGTGTGGTAGCGATGAGAGTAAGGAGTTTAATGAGGTCCTGGATTTGATTTCCCTGAACTAATGGGTAGGAATTTTTCCTACCCATTTTCTTTTCAGCAAGGAAAGAAAAAAATTCCATGTTCCCTGAAGACTTTCTAGCAAACAGGGAATAATTGAAGAAATACGCTTGAACACGTCACTACTGAAATGAGAGGAAGGAAATGAACCATTAACCTTTAAGAAGCTGTTAAAGAAAATAAAATTATTCTCATTGGTTTGTATGTCTTTCTAGGCATTTCGTTAGTGTTTTGAAGAGGGCCAGCTTTGTGTGTGTATGTGTATGTGTGTGCAGGCATGTGTGTGTTTATCTCTAGTTTTCAAAAGTCTAAATTATGGTCTGCATGTTAGTAACCCTGGCTGACTGTTGTGACTGTTGATCAATCTTTACCTCTCTTTGTTGAAACACTGCTCCAAAAATGATAAATAATTCAGAGAGAGAAGGACTCATCCAGGAAAATTGCTGAAAGTTTTGAGGAAACCCTACGTACTTATATTGGAATGAAAATGAGAAGTTTGGCTGCTAAGGTGAAGGCACTGAAAGAAGTTAGGTATGTATTTTTCTAGAATAGTGCTATTTATCATTGCCCTGTTTCTCTCTTGAAGTCATGCATGCTTTTTTGTTTCCCAAAAGTTTTGTTTTGTTCATTTTCTAAGAAAAATGTAGTGTTGTATACAGAGGGGAGCATTTCACAACGCAAGGCTGAAACCTGAGCTTTTTGGAAGTTCACATTGGCATTTGTGTTGCCTGCTTCTCAGATGGCTTAGGTTCACTTCTGTTCCTTTACCATAGCTGTTGCAAGCAGAGCTTTCAATTCCATCTTCAAGGAAGAGGCTAATTAGTGAATGTAGCTAGTTGTTAAAAGTATCTGGGTAGTCAGAGTTCCTTGGGTATCTGTATTGCTGTGAGAGGTGTATCTGTTTGGGTAGCCCAAATTACCCTTCTAGTTTTAAAAGAAGAGACAAAACTGCAGTGGGAAGAAGACTTGATATAGAAATGACCATCAGCTCCTTTAAGAAGGGATATATATATATTGGTGTATGTGGTCGTGGAAGATGAGTAAAAAAAATACCAAGGGAGGAAATAGGACAAAAGGGAAATTAAAAGCATGAGTGAATTTCCATGTACAGCCTCGTCAATACTGAGGTATAATGAATATATTCTTGGTCCTTCTTCCTTCCTTAAAAAAAGATTTAACAGCTGAATGAGACAAATTGCTGCTGCTACCTTTTGAAAGAAATTAGGTTATTAGCATGGCAGGTGCTATCTCAAAATTCGCATGTTCAGGGGGTCTGAATAGCATTGATTTTTAAACTGCTTAAGTTCTGGGAAAAAAAAACCTGGTAAAATGTTGTTTCCTTCTTATAACTTAGGCACACGAATAAGAACAGTTGTTTCGGGGAGCAGCTCTCACAAGCCATAAAAGTAGTTACAGAAGAATGTCTCACTGTTCCGTGTTCCTTGGAAAAATTGCAGAAGATTTGGACAGAGTATAACTTGGCTCAAGAAGGGCTTCAGTTATGCAGAAATGTGGTAGGTTGGAATTATTTTTTTCTCAAGAGCTATAATTTAACAGCTATTGACAAAGTATTTTAGTCTTATAAGTGTAGCTGGATAGCATGAGCACAGCATGGAAACATCTGTCCTTTGCTAGATAACGTCAGAGGCTTTGCTACCTTTGCCACAACTGATGTATTTGTGGAGTGTTATTTTTTGGTGTTAAACCTAGACCTATCGAAGCTCTTGATTTTGTAGAGAAGTATAAGGAAATCAGAACATGGTAGCTAAAAGTTTTCTGTTCTGCAATAGAAACCGCTTCAGCTGCGCAGCTGCAGTGTCTGTCTTCAAAACCTTTTGTTAAAGCAGCATGCCACTACTTAGTATATGCTTCCCTCGTATGGGGAGGCGTAGGGAGAGCGGTATGCAAATGCGGTTGTATGAGAAGATGGACTTGTATAGAGGAAAGTTGCCATCTAGTGCAACTTCTCTGCAACCGCAGTTCTGAAAAAGCCTGCCTGGGTACGTAGGCATGGCTGTGTTGATAAGGATGGTTATGTACTGCGTCTCTCGTGTGCGGCGATGCTACTTTTGGGAACAGGAGGGTTCCCCCGTCTGTAGCAGGCGTTGTGGCAAGGCAGGAAAGGGTGGAGGTTGTGCATCTGGGAGAATAACAGCAGATGTGTTGTGATTATTTTCAAGTATAACCTAAAACATTTTAAACATGTTTGCTTAAGAAGTATTGCTGTATTACACTGAATTTAACAACTCATGAAATGGACTAGAAAATAATGAGCCATGAGGACAACCCAAGTAAGTTCTGCTGTTGCTTGTGCAGGGAAAAGTATTAAAACATTTATGGCATGGCATACATTTGATTGCTGTAGGTGGAAAGAAGTAGTCTTCAGTAAACAAAAGAAAGTCAAATGTTTAAACTTTAAAGTATTAAGATAAGTGTTAATAAGCAGATGACATTTTTTTGTTGCATCTTGTATAGGGGAGCAATGTGTAGAAGAGTAGCTAGGCTGCGAGGTACCCAGGAACCAGGGCTGCTTAGGGAGTCAATTGCACAAGCTTTCCTTGGGTGAATTCCTGATCCCATGTGAAATAGTAGCAGTTTAAATCTTCTGGAGATTACATGGGATGGTTGAGCTCAAGCAGGTCCCTAAGCCTTGGTGAACAACAGCAGACAAGTAAAGTAAAGCTGTCTTAAAACTTGTTTTCGCCCCCCTCGTCCAGTTTTGCTTTGATTCAGTTGAGCTGGGGATAGAGGGAGAAAGAACTCTCAACGTGGAGAAGAGTTAGGACAGATGCAGATACAGTGGTGTGACTGGGGAGTCTCAAAGTGTTTAGTCAATAGAGGAGATGGTTGCTTTGGTGTCATTCAGGTGGCAGTGTGTGTGGGTTGTTTTTGAGGTTTGTTTTTTTTTTTTTGAGTTGCCAACCCCAGCAAGCAGCATTCTTCCATGAGAAACATAATGAAAAGAGGTTTCATTCTTGAACAGTGCTTGAGGTATTTCTGATGGACTAATTTGTTGGAATATGTTAATCTGGACATTGTCACCCGTTTCAGTTGTGAATGGCTAACAATGAAGTCGTCTGCATGATGCGTTGTAGTGCGTTACACTACCAAAATATTTGAAATACTGCTGAAATGAGCTTACAGCACTATGCTGTTTCTGATAGCTCCACATGTGTTTGTGTAGCCCTCTGTTTTGTGTTGACAAGGTGTGGCCTCACACGTGGCTTGAAAACTAGTTTTGTTCAGAAATCAACAGTATCTCCCTGGGCCACACCCCTTCACCCCCCCTCCCCCCTCGCCCCCCCGACATTGTTCCTGGTTGCCTAAGCTAAGGTGTAAATGAATGGTGGCATGAAATCTTACGACTTTTCAAGAGCACTCCGTTGTAAAAAAAAAATTCCTGCTACCTGAAGAGGGGAAGTTGTCTTGGTAGTGTCACCAATATTTTAAACAGGGGAAAATAAAGAAAAGTAGATGTTGGGTATCCCCCACAGTGCCTGAGAGCTGCAAAGGGTACGCAAGTGGGAATGTGTGTGGAAGTGTAGAGCTCCCTGAAGAATTAATTTAGTTTTCAAGATGAATTGGTAGCAGCTGGAAGCAGGACATCTCAAAGCTCTTGCGGTATTTGTCTTAAGTATTTTGAAGACTTTGGTAAGTGAAGGGTACAGAACAAGGGTTTTGGTTGCATCATGCTAGAGCTATGGTACCGCAAAGGCTGTCCTGTTTTAATGCGCAGTGTAGTGACTTAAATTTGTTCTTTTTTTTTCCTGAGAATCATTTTGATTTTTAAAGATCTATTTTATGTGCTGTAACATGCCACAGAATCTTGACTACTGTATTTTCAAATACAAGAAATGTCCAGGATGCACACAGTAAAAGGGTGTGCTTGTTATTCTGCGTGTCATCCCTGCTTAAATTATACTGACTGTAGGTAGGCTAACAAATGTTTTTGATAGTGCAGCCAAGTATGTTGATGTCACTAACTGTGTTTCTTGCTCAGTTAAAATGAGGCACATGTAAATCCAGTGTACAGGAAGCCCAGTGAACCCAAACAGATGGATGAAATAGCTGGCTATTAAACTATAGCAGACTCTGTTTGCTTAATCTGTCAACCTAGCTGTCAAAAATGGTTTTACTAAGTTAAATCTTGCTATTCAGTTGCCTAAGCGATGTGCTCTTCCTTTAACCTCCCTGGAGTGCAGATGCCCTCTCTCACTGTCACAAGCCTTATTTGTTTGTAAGCTCTTGTGAGTGAACATCTTGTCTTGCTTTGGGGGAAACCTAATGCATCTTAAACAAATATCACAGGCGTCGGTAAACCCAATGAAATTTGAGTGCAGAGTAAATGGTATTATTTCAGTTTTCATTGTCTATGCTTTCTTAGTTGGTTTATGCTGGTTTAACTGGGTCTCTCCTAGATACTGTCCCAAAAATGAAGGTGGGCGACAGGAGCATTTGTTCTTAATAAGGTATTTATGTAACATATGTCTTAGAAACATAAAAAAAAAATTAGTGAACTGAGGTAGTACTGGGGCATGGTGTGTGTGAAAATAATAAAGATGGTTCTGCTGGAGTGGAAATGCTTAAACATATATTCAAAACTAATCATAGAATTTGATGCAAATTCTGTGTCCAAATAGGAAGGTAGTGGTGCTGATCACTTAACCAGCTCCCCTATGAAACGTAACTGAGAGGATGGCAGCTTTACAGATGAAAAACCAGGGATAATTAGAAGTTCCCCTGAAAGCAATGTAGGCAGATACTCATAGTAATAGGATGTAATACAAATTCTGACTTTTCAGACATTGTAGTGTTTTATGGATGTGTTGCTTAATTTATGATTTCAATTTAGAAACTTATTGGAGACTGTAGTGTACATATTCAGCATTTTTTGTGGAAAGGATGAAAAAATAATCATGCCAATGTTTAAAAAAGGGGAACTATTCAGTTGCTCATTTAAAAAAAAGGAAAGTGGGGGAGGGTGGGATCAATAGAGCCGTTTAATGAGGATGCTGATGCCAGAGCTAGTTTTAGCTATTCCATATACTGCGAAGTAGTCACTTGAACTAAAGGGAGCCAAAAACTGGGGCCAAAAGTAGAAATAGGCTCTAAAAATGGATTAGAACTTATCTGTGGAGGGGGATTTATTTTTTTCTCTTGCTTATGAGGTCATTAAATCACATTAAAGCAAGACTGCATTGATGAGGTGATTGCACTATATATATCCTCTTTTTATGGACTTTCATAAGTGTTTCTATAGTTATCCGAAACAAGATAGTAAGCTAGCTTGGCATTTGGTATGACTGAGTCTGGTGGTTGGTTGTGTGGGGTTGTTTTTGGAGTTGGTGTTTTGTGGGTTGTTTTTTTTTCTTGAGAGGTGTAAGATGGACCAGACACAAAATAAAATAAATTTTGTAGTTTGAGAAGCCTTTAGTCTGTTCCAAAGGAGTTTAATTCTACTGTTTGTTGTTGTGATGAGTTTACATCTTTGTAAAGCAGACTATTAAAATACTGCCTGTGTACTTAATGCTCTCTGAAGTTACTGTTACTCAACAGGCGTTGAACTGTCACGTGTACCCAATTAAATGGCAGACATTGGAAGGAGACTTGTCCTGTGGCTCCCAAGCCACCTGTTGAGTTCCTGGATTGTCATTTAGTCATGTGTAGACTGTTGAATTTACTCTAGTGCTTGAACTGGTATTAATTGGAGTTTGGTTGCCTGGTTGAATCTTCTACTATGTTAAGTGTCTATTGCTCTAGTTTTTGAAGTAATATTCTGCAGAAATCTTGTCTTAAAAAGGAATAAGAACCCCTTGTCATAAAGAACACTTCATGCAGTGCATTACAGTATTCTGTTACAAACTAGCTCCTGTCTTATGCAGGAAAAACAGCAGGAAGGCTGTAAAAATTGTGTGTGCTTTTGGTCACCAGAGATGCCCAAAAAGTGCAGAAGTGCCTATTAAATCTTTCTTTTGTTGTTGTTATTTCATGTTTTTAAGTGCTGAAGCAATACATTGTGTTCACTTTCTATAGTAGAACTTAATCCACTTGTATTTATTATCCAGCCTACTAATGTCTGGCTGAATTGCAACATCTGTTCAATGCTAATCTAAGTTTTAAAGCAGTGTATACTGCAACTTGGGTTTCTGGTTTTAGTTGGAGTTTGTCCATCGTTCAATTTCCAACCATTGGATCTCATTCTGCCCTTGTCTGTTACAGGCAAAAGGTTTCTCATCTGTCTTCCATGGATACTTACAAACTCCTGATTAAGTCAACTTCTAAGCTTTCACTGGATAAACTGAATTTAAAAGCTCTGAGAACCTGTATTTGTGTATACATATTTATATTACAGATATATTTATATTATATATTGCTTGTTAGTAGGAGTGTTCATTTGACTGTTTTTTGGCTCCGTGTGAAACTGGTATTAGTGCCATGGTTAACTCTTCTGTTGTTTTCTGTTTCTTTACTAATTGCCTTCCCCACTAGACTTTCCAAGATTTTTTTTTTTTTTTTTTTTGTGTCTATCTGAAAGTCAGTGGCATAAAAAAAGACCGCTGCTTGAGTCGTTTTACTTACTCTTTAATTTTTGGAGATGTATGTAGAAGGGAATAGCAAATCTTCACAGCAGGTCTGTAAAGCTGTAGTTTGGTCTTCCATGTTCATATATATTTTCACATTTCTGTGGGCATGTTGTGTTAAACCACTGTGAAAAGAACACTGCAAACATGCTTCTGAGTAACTTGCTTCATCCATTTTGAAAGGTTGGGTTTTGGTGAGTCTGTTAGGTACCTTTTCTGGGGTTCCTCTCCCATTAGCAGAACTAATCCTGCCAGTCATCCAAGGGAAACTTTTGTTTTTGTTTCTAGAAAATTATCTTTAGTATAATGATCTTTAATGATCTTAATAATCTTAATCAGCAGGGAGTTTACAGGTCACCTGTCTTTCCTGCTAGAAGGCAAGGAAAAAATTGGTAAAAGAATTTTTTTGATTCTAGAGTATTCTTCTCCAATAAAGAGAAGAAATCTTTTGCAATCTGACTTTGTGGCTGTAATTTAGCATTTATGGAAGTGTGGATAATCTAAATCCTAATTTCTGCAATACAGTAAAAAACTGTAGGACAGCTAGGACATTTGAAGTTTACAGTGGCAGTTAGGACTCCCACTGTTATCGACAGTCATGCAGAAACTGTTTCTTTAGTTTTCTGATAATGTAGTCATATTTTTACACTGTAAAGGATGCTGTATTTGTGCAAAGTGGTCATGTTGTAGGAGTAGAGATTAAAAACAAAACAAAATTTGCTTTTTCACTCATTCCTAGTCAGGCATGTATTGTACTAGTCACACTTCGCAGGGATTAACGCTTTTTTGTATCACTTTCCACATTGTGTATGTGGCGTTTGGGTGTGAGTTGCTGACTTGCTTTTCCTTCTGCATAGGATGAAAGAGATGAATTGATTACCAAGAGGGATGAGGTGCAGCAGAACTTGTATTCAGCAGCGGAAGAATTAATTTTGGAAGTGGATCAACTGCCCCTCTCTGGCCGCTCAAGAACATTACAGGTAAGGAAGTTGCTTTTGTCAGTATTGATTCTGAAACACTGAGAACCTGTAGAGAGTGTTTCTTAAATGTTAAACGTTTTATAGTCGGAGACCTCAACAGCAGCAGATGAAGCTTTAGATAACACTTCTGAGTTAAGTTGTACATCTGGCACCTGTAGTTCTCACTGTTACTTGTGATCCTGGTCTCCTAGATGTTTTGTTTCTAGGGACGAATTATTATCTAGATCCTGGATTTGAGCAGCAGCTTTTCTCTTATGGTACTGTGTTTGGTGACTAACAAGACTTCACAAAGCACAGAAGGCAGGTGTTAATAAGAGAACCTACAATTAAAAAGTCAATGCAGTTATGCAAATTGTGGCAGTGGATTTTGTGGTTGGATTATACACTTTCCTAGCCCTTTGTGTTAAGATGGCTGTGTA